TGTGTGTGTGTGTGTGTGTGTGTGTGTGTGTGTGTGTGTGTGTGTGTACAGTATGTGTCAGGACTAGTAGGGGGTGTGATGCGCTGGGGATGCAGGCTCGAGCATGCACTGCAGAGCGGCTTGTCAGAAGCTGCTCTTCCCAGCTATTAGCTTCTCTCCGTTAGGACTCAGGTCCCAACACGTCCTGCACAATGCATCCTTCCCTTCCTTTCCCCATGCATCATCCACGGCCACATCACCGTTGATCTTCCTGCCAAGCATCTAATCTGGGAAAAACATAGTCGATGAGGAAGATTTCCAACTCGCATGTGGCTTCAGTAACTGCATGATTTCATGTGATTCCGTTTGTACTGGCTTTTATAGACACCCAGACAATGATTTAAAAAATAAAAAATAAAATAAAAATTGATTCTCTACTAATTACTTTCATCCCTGTGCTACAGTGTACATAGTTTAGTATCAGGATTGGTCAGGAGATATTCTGGATCAGGGAGCTAACAATCTAGGATATTTGTATGTTAAACATTTGCTCTTTTCTGCTGTGTGTTGCAAAACACACGGTTTAACACTGTGTGTGTGTTATGCTGTCTAAAAGAGTAAACTTTTAACATCCTATGGACAGTACAAGAACTGTAAATGCATCACTGAGGCATTGTGTATCTTGTCAACTTACTCTAGTTTATAGTATTTTATCTATGTGTGTGCTGACTAGATTCAAATCAGAAGGTTTCCTCTGCGACTCTATACTTGTGTGAAGAACAAAGGTTCCAGTATGTCTGACTAAATAGTTATGATGGAACATATAAAAAGATATTGTCCTTAAAGTCAATTAATTTTTTTTCAAAATCTGCAAAGTCTCAGAGACAAACAGCAACAAAAAGAAATGAATGATTCAAATCTACACTGATACAAATCTAACTGATTTCAGTACAGTGTAATCACAGACTGTAAAAGTAGAGTGTGTGTGTGTGTGTGTGTGTGTGTGTGTGTGTGTGTTCATGTGCGTGTGTGTGTGTGTTCATGTGCGTGTGTGTGTGTGTGTGGGTGTGCGTGCCTGTCTGTCTGCACATGTGTGTCTGAATGTGCATAAAACGTATCTGAGATTTGTTAAGCGAATTCACAGCGGGCAAGCTGTTTCTTGTGTATATGGATGACGGTCTGGCAATTATCACTTAGTCTCCAGGAGCCTGTCAGGACCTGCCCTCACCAGTCCACCATGTTGAAGCATGGACGGATGGATGGACGGATGGATGGATGGACGGATGGACGGATGGATGCATATGCAATGAAAACTGACATCTAAATACGTAGTCAGAGCATTATGCAGTGGTTTTGGAAAGTTTTGATCACATCGGAACACTTGGGGATGCATTTCTGGATGTTTCTATCCAGAGATGAGCACATCTGAGTAAACATGTGCTCCAGCTACTGATACAGCCATGTATTTTAGAACTACATTTGCATTGCAGTTTTCATAGTAAACAAAAAAAAAAAAAAACAGCAGCAAGAATATAAAAAAAAAATTTTTAAAAAATGCACATATGACTGTTTGCTGTGCATTTAGCGGTTGATGGTTTTCAGTCCATAAAAAGCAATTAAAAAGCAAAGTGGTTTCTTGCAGAGCTTGTTCATGTTAATAGTCTGATATCACATAAAGATGTTCATGGGTGTCACCTACAAATGGTGAGATTGGCCACAGTTTATAGTCAAGAAGATTAAAAAAAATTTACATTTACATTTAGCAATTTAATTTGAAGAATCTAACCTTCTAATAATACTTCTTCACTAGTTCGCAGTTTCAGTCTTCTGTTCTCACAAGTACACAAGTATTTGCTGGTGGTTGTTCTCTCTCTCTTTATCTTTCTTTTCACGTCTGGTGTCATGAAACAAAGCCCATCCTATTCATCAGTCACCATCTCTTGTCTGTACAAGAAGATACTCATCAGATACTCTAGTTCTCTTATTAATCCGTCCCTTCTGACATACACACATGGATCTGAACTCATGCACACATGCTGCAGGTACACACTAGTCAGGATAAGTTGAGGAATCTGTGTGTCCTGGAAGACTAAAATCACAAAATATAATCGTGGATTTTTAATGCATGCTCTGTTGTACTGAAAACATGTTTTAGAGTAGAAGAGAAATGCATAATATAGTGATTATGTGATTTAAAAAGCTCTAAGGAAAGGTAAATAGTTCAAGGATATTCATGTGACACAGAAAACAATCTTCAACTCCTGACATTTGCAGGGACACTACCAACATTTCACTCGTAATGTTGGGCACAATATGAAACCCAGTCAGTATTCTACAGTGAGGCTCTTTCTGCTGTGATTCTGCTGGTAAACAACCCAATGGATTAGTTTTCTAGACACGATAGGTGCGGCAAGAAAAGTCCCCAAGTGTGTAAATGAGAAGTCTGTCTGGCTGTTGCATCTCCCAAAAATTATTTATTCATGGTATGGACGCGCTGTTGAGACTTGTTAGGCAAAGTTAAGTGGGAAAAGGTAATGTTGTGCACAGGTATTTCCATTGCCCTAAAGGGAGTGCTCATGGCATGTGTGTGTGTGAGAGAGTTTGCAGTGTGTGTGAGGCTTAGTAATGGTGTCACAACAAGTAATCCAAGGAGCTGTTGGAATGACTCTTTCCCAGTTGTCACGAGGCCAAAAGCAAATCGGAGACATTTAAATTGGGAGAATTAACGTAGATAGAAAAATCATAAATTCCTTAAGCGTCATTGTGAGTCCAGGTAAGGTACAGAAGGATGAATTAATATTCAAGCATGAGCTTATAGGGTAAGTTTGAAATAAATGGGAAGAAACAGGAAATGTGTTTTTTTTTTCAAAGATAAAGTAATACAGAGAGGGAAGTTTGATATAACTGAGAAATTCTTATAAATAACAGTCGTCCTTGTTATGTAAATTGACCCTCATTTGTAAAATCGGTGGTATGCTACCTTGCAGAAGGATATTGGACTAAAAGATATAGCTAATACCAGGGTTTAAAACAAATTCCAAAAAAGCACTCATGAATGGAGCTTATTATTTATTGCATCAACAAATTTATTATGTAGCATTTGACACTATAAATGGGATTCTGGTGATTTAAGGTGCAGACCATGTAACTGGATGGGTTCCAGTGGTGCCATTCATCATCAGTCTGTCTCTCTCACAGATTTTTATTTTTTTTTTTATCATATGCAGCATTCTGCCATAGGGTGTGCTGTTGCATTTGTGTCCGTGCCCATTATAGCAAGTCTACACAGGACAGAGCAGACTTTTTAAGTCCTTTTTCTGGAAAGTCTGTTTTCCACGTGAAATATTTTTAAGATTTTGTGACTGTGTTGGGGCATGTTAAGGCTTTTCCATTCCTTGTGAGGTTTTTGAATGCATTGGTATTGGCACACATGCACGCACAGATGCATTTGTGAATGCTTGCAAACTGAGGAGTCATTAAAGGCCTGGCGTAAAGTACATCAGCATTTTTCTATTGCTGTACGATTCTCTAAGCATTTCTGTTATTGTCCCACTTATGTTCATATTTTGTAAGCAATCATTTTTTTATCCATTTCATCTGTCCTTTTGAACTTCCACTTTTCCGCCATCATTTGCAGAATTTATATTACTGCTCACAAACCCAGTCTGTTGGATAATAATCATCCATTCTAATAACACAGTAATTACCTTTACAACACAGACTGAAATTTACTGCTGACTGTTTTACAGTCCTTGTGTATTTTCACTCTCCATTCATACTCTCCCCTTCTTCATATGACACAATTTGCTCTCCAGTCATGATTTTATGTGATAATTACAGTGTCCTCTGCTCTTTTATTATAATTTTATTGCGTAGCTTTTCATTTGTCCACCTTGTATTCTGTTATTTAAGATGTTTTTGCTGATAGATGAGTTCATACTTCAAAAGTATGTTATTTTCACTCCACCTCCTGAAATGTTAAGTTTCGTTCAGTTCAATTAAATTTTATTTATATATCACTTATTCACAACATATGTCATCTCATAGCAATTCACATAGTTTGATGAAGACCTTATGAATTTTAAACAAGACTTCTTAAGGTCTTTTACTATGATATCAGTGGTGGCATCGCCTTTAGGATTCAACCTCGGACTGTTTTTTCCTCCTCAGGTTGAGCCATGACTAGTTCATGAGAGCTTTTATAAAACAATGAGTGAAAAAAGTTCCTAATCACTTTGATGTCTTAAATTTGCTTTCCAGATGTTGTTGAAAAAAATGTCAGTGTTTAGGTATGCATTAATTGAGGCTTACTTTATAACTAATGCAGATATGATTCTTTATTAATAATGTCATTATTATCATTATATACAATGCTATAATGTATTTTGAATATTTTATGAACAGTAACAAAATGCATCATCTCAAAATTGGAAGTTCACATTTAAAAAGAAAAGAAAAACCTACAGTTGGCAGTGCAAAGCTCATCCGACTGTAAAGCGTCTTTGACTGACTGTGATGTTTTGAGAATGCATGACGCTGAAAGCGCGTTCATCTTGGAACCTTCGCTTTTGCTTTTTCTCACACACTCATAAAAATGTCATTTATAAGCTCAGATCAATCATTTGAAATGGCCCCTGTGTGTGTTTGTGTGTGTTTTGTTTTCCTACCCAGTACTCTCCTTTGCTGAAGAAGCTCTACTGTCAGATTGCCAAAACATGTCCAATCCAGATCAAGCTGTCCTCCTCTCCACCACATGGCAGCATCATCAGAGCCATGCCTGTCTACAAGAAGGCAGAGCACATCACAGAAGTGGTCAAACGATGCCCCAACCACGAGCTGGGGCGAGACTTCAATGATGGTACGATCAACAAGACTGGTTCTTTGCTGTTTTTGATGCTTCAACTTATTCAACCAATTTAATCCTCACTTCTCCTTCATCGTTCTCTCCTCAGGTCAAGTAGCCCCGGCCAGCCACCTGATCCGAGTGGAGGGAAACAACCTCAGTCAGTATGTGGACGACCCCGTCACTGGTCGGCAGAGCGTCTTCGTGCCCTACGAGGCTCCACAGGTTGGTGGTTCATCAGCTGCTGTATGTCTTTTAGAAAAGAGAGACACACAATGCGACAAGAGACCCAAACCATGACTTTAACCCTCTGAAGCCCAAGCAGTTTCTGGGCATTTTTTGCTTCTGTCACATATTTAGTCACTGTGGGCTCAATTTTTTTTACTGCATTATACATTTGTGCACCTCTCGGGAAACAGCACAACCATGCCCAGAAGTACAGAGACCTTAACAATGTGTTTTGTGCAGTATAGAAAAGTTAGAATGCCATATATCAGAAACTTTTAACTTGATGATTGCCCCTTTTTTTTATTTAACAAAAAAATATAATCAACATGTACAGCATTCATCCCAGTGTCCCCAGGTGTTACCAGTACTGGAGAAAAATAAGGGTTCAACACACTATAGATTTGTACCTGTTTACATTTTTGGCTTGTTTCCATACTTGTCTCCTATCTGCACTGTGTAAACACAGCCTGAAGCTGAAATTAACACATTTCTTTTGTTAGAGCAAACATTTTATATTTTGGTGATTTTTTTTTAAAATAGAGCATGTAGAATAATGTCATTCTGATGAAATATGGTGGCTGTACTACTGAAATACAGACAATTATTTCTGATGAATGGTGTCATATTGGCATTTTTCACGATTATTCTTTTTTCTTTTTAAGATTCCATGCCTTTTAAATGTACACGTACAAAATACCTGGGATATTTACAGTTTTCATGAAGTCTACCGATGAGGTGAATTCTGGTTGATATCTGTTATTGAACCTATAAAAGTATAAAATGATGATCAGGACAGGATAATCAGACGATTGTGAGATGCTGATTTTGCAAAAGTACATCTCAGTATCTGAAAGATGTCCCCAGTATTTTGTACATTCAACCAGAGACAAGACACAATGGATCAGTCAAGTTCATTCCAAAGAAACAGCCATTTTTTCAGTGGACTACTTAGAATGCACATCTATAAATAAAGATTGCAGGCATGTCCAAACAAGCAGGAGATATCGTCATGTCTGATTGCACCTGAGGAGAGAAGTGAGAAGCGTAATTGTCTGGCCTCTTATCAAAGTGCACTGCAACACTTCCCTCTGGTGGTGAATTGGTGTTTAGAGAAATATAGTACTTGAGCAATAAAAAAATGTAAATTCCTTGATAAATGTGAGATAGACTAAACCAACAAAGCTTACATCCTTTGTTGTTTTGTGCTTCAGGTGGGGACTGAGTTTACCACCATCCTGTACAATTTTATGTGCAACAGCAGCTGTGTGGGCGGCATGAACAGGAGACCCATCCTCATCATCATCACTCTGGAAACCAGGGAGTAAGTCAACTTATTTAAAAGTCATACATACGCTCAGTTCAAACAGTTTACTGGACTTCTTTGACTGTACCAAGACACTCTCAGCTCTTGAAACTCGCTGTGATTTAGTTCTTACTTGCAATGTGTTTTGTTTGAATTTACAAATGTACAAAAGCACACATTTGTACAAAAACAAAACCAGTTTAATGAAAACTGTAAGTTTACCTACAACGAGGAGTGCCTACTTCTTTACATCCAGCTGCCTTGGTCAGGTGATCAGATTCACACTCTGCAGCTGCTGAGCCAATATATTTGGCCAAATCAGTAAAGAGACTCCACATCCGACACCTGCTGTCTTTACAGTCTTCTCTGCTGCATCCTCACTTCCCATCCTACCCCGGCATAGTCAGTTTTGTCAGTGTGATCTTTCTTTCTTCTGCTGACCAGATAATCAGAGCTACCTGCTCACTAGCAATTCAGGTAGACCATTTTCTAGGCGATCTTGTGATGCTAGCATCTGTAACATGACTGTCCTGCACTATCACCTGCACTCAGAGGAAAGGAGTTGCTCTAATTGCCCGGCTCTCAGGTAGAAACCTACTAAGGTGACAGTCGGAGGCATTCTTAGCCTCTTGAGCAGATGTTCATTGATCTTTCTTTTCCATCATTGTTCCACAGAGATGTCTCAAACATTAGAGAGCCTACTTTAAAACAAATAAACAAACAACAAAAAAAACATGTCTTGATTAATATGTTTTCTATCAAAAATTCTCTCTGCAGTGGCCAAGTGTTGGGCAGAAGGTCATTTGAAGGTCGGATATGTGCATGCCCAGGCCGAGACCGCAAAGCTGATGAGGACCACTTCAGGGAACAACAGGCCCTGAATGAGAGTGTGGCCAAAAATGGCAGTGCCAACAAACGCAGTGAGTCAAATTAAACTGAAACAAACCTGCACATTTGAAGAGTTAGAGAGTCAGTGACATTCTGACGTTGTTATACATCATGGTTGGTTGATTGATTATGGTTCTGTTCCTTTTGTCTTCAGACTTTAAACAGAGTCCACCAAATATTCCCAGTCCAAACATTAACATGAGGAAGAGACGGCATGGAGAAGAAGAGATTTACTATATTCCAGTAAGAGCCTTTCACACACTTATCTGTAGTATGTAGAAAATATTTTCGCAGACTAACAAGAGAATCCAATGCCTTTTTTTTTTTCCCCAAACACTGGACACGTGTACCACTTTTAATGTATGATTTCATGAGTCATTACCTTCTTTTACCTCCTGGCTGCCTTATCTTACTCTACGTGTTGTGTTTGTGTGCAGGTTCGTGGTCGTGAGAACTTTGAGCTGCTGATGAAGATCAAAGACAGTTTGGAGCTGGTGGAGCTGGTGCCACAGCCACTGGTGGACTCCTACAGACAACAAACACAGCAGCAGCTGCTGCAGAGACCGTGAGTAACTCCACCATACACACAGAAACACCACCACCCAAATACTTGGCTTTAAACAGACATACTGCACTTACATTGTGACCGAAAGGATCTGATCAACCAGTGCACATGTACACACACTGAAGGCTCATAAGAAAACTTTTTGCTTCTCTGTGAATCACAACTGCAAGAGAGTAGAATGAACAGCATGCAAATTTAGAGCCTTGTTCACTTTATCAAACTTTGAAACATCCTTCAACCTCTTTTTCTCAAATTTCTTCTCTTTCCACTAGGGGCCATATACCGTCCCCGTCCTCTTACTCTCCACTGTCCAACATGAACAAGCTGCATCCTCAAGGAGGCCTCAGCAAACAACAATCAGTCAACCAGCTGGTGGGACAGCAGCCCCAGCAACACCATACCGCCCCTCCTTCCATAGGTCATATGGGTGAGAATCTATGTATGTGAATCAGATCAAACTAGATTTACTCATGCAACACTTCAATTTGACATGAAACTTCACAGTGCCTTTCTATGTTCCAGTTTGCTGCTCATTATCTCTTTGCTCACTTCTCTCTTTCTCACAGGGTCAAACATGCTCAACAGCAACCACATGCAGGCCAATGGTGAAATGAACGGTGGCCACAGCAGTCAGAATATAGTGTCTGCTTCCCACTGCAGCCCACCCCCTCCGTATAACCCTGACCCCAGCCTCGTCAGGTACCTCACCCTCCAATGACACTCCTTTATCCTCCTGTAAAAGGCCAGCAGACAATCAGTTGCACTTGTTGTGGTAAATGTGAACCATAGTGACATGCTGTTGCTTAAACAGCTACTTTGTTTGGCCATGTTCATATAAGTTTTAACTGACATTTTTTTTTTTTTCTTTTGGAAAAGTTACCTTTTGCCGCAAAATATGTCTAGATTGACCTGTGTTATACAGAATATTATGGCTGCTTTGTAAAGGCTTGCAATTACATCACAAACCTCGAAGCACCTTTAGCTGGTGCCATAGTGAAGGTCTACTGGAGAACTGGCAGCATGGAAATAAGTGGTAGGATGTTAAGTGAAGTCAGTGATGTTTTGGGTAAAAGTAAAAAGTATGTTTTGGTTTAGCTGTGTCCAAATTTTGGTCGTTATTCTATAAAACCCGTCCTGTCCAGAGTAGTACAGTAAGATAGCAACAAGCAACCTCAAATATCTAGTTGCTTTTGTAAATGTCTAAATCTAAAATGCTGATCAAGTTTTCATTAAAAAAACAGCACATTATTCATGTCTTTTTATTCTATGAATGCAACCAAGCTGCTCATGAGTTGTAGACCTCCACTAGGGCTGCCAGTGGGTTTGTTATCTACTCAAAAAGCTCAAACTGTTTGTCGTATACTTGGAACTAAAATCCTGTCTCTGTGTGTACAGCCATCCTTTGCAATGCACCACAGCAAATTTTCTTCAAAAGAAATGTTTAACTTCTATTTAATTCAACACGTTTTTCTTATTTTTTTAGATTTTTTTTTAAAAGATATTGTGCCAATGCAGTCGCTGGACTCGCTAACGCAAATTTAACATTTTTGATACAGCAGACTTTGTCCTTCGTTTTGTTTTCTACACTGTTATGTCAATTGAACCACTAAATTGTATAGTCAGCTTCTTTTTCCAGTTATATTGTATTTTAATAAGAATTTAACACTTCATGTATTTATAATAAAAGTTCTTCACCAAAGCAAGAATGGCCTTATGAATCATTAATATAAATGCATGTTTATGGCTTATTCTCACTGCATCTATCAAGATGTATCGTTTCTGTACATTTGAGGCTAAATCTGCACCTTAAATCTATCATTCAGCTTTGGAATAAACTATAAAAACTTTCACTACATAGTAAGATAACGACATGTGACACAACCAAATTACATGTGTCAGTTCTTTCTTAAAGTAAATGCTAACAGTAATTATCAAGTTGGAATAATATTTTTTTTCTACTCAAGTACAACTGCACTTTTCATCGAGGTTAATGAAGCTGATGTTTCTATTTCAGTCCAACTTTCAGTTTTGTAGCTGTGCTCTAAGCAGCCCTGCTTTTCTCCCCATACAGTTTTCTCACCAGTCTGGGCTGCCAGAACTTCATTGAGTACTTCACCTCCCAAGGCCTGCAGTCTCTCTACCATCTCCAAACTCTCACCATGGAGGTAACCACTCTTTTGAAGCACTGCAAAACCTTACAGAGGAATTAATTATTAGTATATTACTTTTTACGTGCATTGAGCTTCACATATAAATAACTGAAAAAAGGGAGAAGACACATTAAAGGAAAGAGCAAATAGTAACAGAAAACAGAAAAGCACAAGAATGCAGTAAAAAAAAATATCACAGAAAACATTTTTTGGAAAGTCTAATTTAGTTCATTTTATTAAAGGTGGCTTGTTGAGTTTTGAATTAATAGTAATGATGTATCTACAAGTAAACACTTCAGGATGTGCATGCACACTTATTGCGTTAGTTGTCTATTACATGCCTACACTCTTACAATGTCTGTGTGCCTTCACCAGGATTTAGGTGCACTAAAGATACCAGAGCAATCCCGCCTTGTCATCTGGCGAGGTCTGCAGGACCTGAAACAAGGTGCTCAGCTCCAGCTGCCCACCTCCACTCATCACCATGACTACCACGGCCAACAACTGCTTCGCTCCAGCAGCAACATGGCGGCCTCAGCGATGGCAGCCATTGGAGCTGCAGGTGGGGAACTGCAACGCCAGCGCGTCATGGAGGCCGTGCACTTTCGTGTCCGCCACACTATCACTATCCCCAACAGGTCCGGTGTTGTCGGCCCGTCAGGGATGGCGACAGCTGGTGACGAGTGGGGTGACTTTGGATTCGACATGCCTGACTGCAAGGTGTCACGTAGCAAGCACTCCATCAAGGAGGAATTCATGGAAAGTGATGTTCACTGAGAGCAAAACGAATCCTGGAACTGCTTTCCTAATGTTATTGTCAGCATCAGCCTATTACAGAGTAAAATCACACGGATAGGGTCTGTAAATGTGCTTTTAGGTGTTAATGTCGTATTTCAGTCGATGCTTTTGCAGAGAATCAACTTCCATTTTGAAAAGAGGTCATTTTCAGTGTGTTAACGCACTTTCCTGTGCACTCTGTATTTTGTGGTTGTACAAGATTGAACAGGAGATGACAGATTATTTCTCTAGGCAACATAGCAAATACGACTTTGACAATAGCATTGCCATGACAATGCTTAACAACTATGGTCTGGACTATACTTTATGGGACTCTGATAAGCGCAGGGAAATGTTGTTTGTGTGCACTGTGTAATGATACGTGACATATTTTCTTTTACAGCATTCATTTACACAATAATGTTCACAGTTGCACAAATGTAAAAACAGTTATCACCACCAGCAACTTCTCAGTTTCCATTTTGTGTTTGGATACGAAAAAATAGTTCTCAGCTGACTTATTTATTTTTCTTTCAGTTTTCTTAAACTTGTACAAATGTATATACTGTATCTTTTAAATGTTTTGAAATAGTTGTGGTTGAAAATTAGTATTTAGAATCAAAATGATGTATCATCTGGTTTAACAAAATGTATAGAATTGAATAGTAAATCAAACTCGGTAGATATGGGGAACACAGTCATGTGTAGTTTTAAATGGCTATATTTGTGATGACTTTTAGTTCAGTATGCCTTTATCATTTCATTGTTAAGAATTGTTTCATGTGCTTTGGCATTAATAGTGTGAACATCAACACGTATTTTCAAAAATTTGGGATTGCTTCTACTTTTCACGTCATAGGAAGTAACGGTGTTAGTGTTTGTAAAGTAACACTACGAAACAAAATATCAGAAACAGTATTACATCTCAATAGCAGGGATTTAATTAGATATGTAAATAATAAATTAAGAGCAGTCCCTGTATATCAAAACACTAGACGAGACAGTAGTATTTTTGTCCTTCTCTGTGTATTTTGAAAAACCTTGCAGGGCAAGGTCCTCATATATTGATTATAGCTATCTGTGTACAATATCTTCATAGCACTTGTTTGTAGATATTGAATAGCAACATTCCATTTTTACTTCTAGATTGCCAGCCAACATGATAAATTGTGGTGCAATTTCTTGTCAGGTTTATTTAAAGTGAGTACGTGACTTCGTACCATGAAAAAAAAAAAATGTACCTGACCTGCAGCCATTTTCTAAGACCCTTTTACTTGCAAAGAACCAGATCATTTCATCCACCAAGTCATAGAGAAAGAGCACTTTAATGCTTTAATAGTGAAAGAATTTAGGATTATCAGTATTATGCATTATCACACTGTAAATATATATTGTGTTTTAATATTCTGTAAGATTTTTTGTTATCAGTTTTGTAAAAAATTATTAAGATGTGTACCTATGTATTGCTGTTCAATGGTATGTTAATTAGTTTCTAAGGTTGTTAAGTTCAGTGTTTTTGTTAAATCATGGATTAAATGGATCAAAGCACTTGCCGTCATTGTCTCTCTTTACTAAAGTTTAAAAAAAAAAAACGGTTTTCGATTTAGTGGTCTGAGTTGTATTTGGATGCGCATTTAAGTCAGCTGTCTAAGGTATAGAGCAAAGTTTAATTTAGCATGTATTGCGATGTTTTTGTATGTATTACCTGAGTTGGAATGCGCATTAGTTGAGTTCGTTCAGGGACCACTGACTGCAGTCTTAACTTGCTCAGTGCTGCATCAGACTCGGGGCTCTACTATCCTGCCTGCCGTATGTTCGAATCCTCACGGAAGTACTGACGTGTTCACATCGGTTTTCACAGGAGGTGGCTAGTTTAGCTAGCTAGGTAGAACCGGGTAGTGACACAGCGGCGGTATCAGGTAAGAAATGGCTGTCATTGATTATTTTCGCTGTACTTGCAAACACAACCGAGAGACGCGGACAGAGCATTAATTTACGAAACAATTTAGTAAACGATTGTATTATTCAGTGAATATGGACGTGGTTACGAGAGAATAGTTCTTTTTCTTACTGTGCTAGCTTGCTAGCTGTGGAGTCGTTGGCAACGTAGTACCGTATCTCCGGAAGTGAGCTGTCAACTCTTCGAATTCCTTTATGGTATTTGTAGTTCTAATGTGCCCACATAGACAATGCTACCAACTCAAAGACAGAGAGTATCGAACTACAATTTCTCTTGCCAGGGTTTAATGTGGGATAAAGTTGAATTATGGGAAATGTAGTTACGCAACTGTATTTGCGCCCCGGTAAGAGTGAACTGAACCTTTACTAAAACTACATATCCCATACAAGCAATAATTTGGGCCAAAGGTAATGTACATTTGGATGGCTAGTTAGCTATTCCCAGGGCTAATTTGGAAGCTAACGCGATGAATTTAAAATAATATCACAGATAAAACATTGCTGACAGTTATTCACGTATTTGTTTGAAATCCAATCACGTCATTGTTTTTCAGCCAATCTATGTTTTTAAAGTATGACGTTCTAGATGTCTTCCTCACTGCCTAAAGCCTGTTAGCTAGTTATGTAGCACATAGGCTAGCTACCACCACGTACAGTTCTACGCGCTCCTGCCTTTATAAGGTAAATTACACACAAAATGAATCAATAAATGCCCTGTAATCTTTGTAGCAACCCGACACTGTTGGTAAACAACTGTCTAAAACGTGACCTCACGCTACAGTGAGTTTAGACTGGCACCCGGCTAACGATGTCTAGAAGATTCACGGTCCTACTCACAATCGTTGGATTTCTGACTACTGAGTAAAAATAGCTTCATGTGGCACCTGTGGTTGCATTTAAGTCACAAAAGTAGCAACTTGATTTGTTAATGTTACGAGAGGCACTGCTATATTCTGTTAGCTAGGTCGTATACCCTATTGGAGTTATCTAACTACACTGATATCATTTAAATCTCTCTGTGTACTCTTCATGTGCAGCTGATGGAAACAGGTATTTCAAAACAGTCTGGATTAGCATCACCACAATCGAAAGAGTACATAACACAGAGACCAAACTCAGATTTTGTTGTTGCTGCTCTGACAGGCTGGTGCTATATAAAGGTCATTGCTGTTCTTTCTTAATCAGTCATACTGGGTGGACTATTTTTTTATTACCTCATGTAGAAAGCAGGCACAGATTTTTTTTCTTTTTAACTGAGAACCAACCCAGCGTGTCAGTAGATAACCACCCACCACATTTTAAACAGTCTGTTTCAGTTCAATTCGCCAAGACCCTTATCAGCGCCTCTAATCAAAATGTTTTGTTTTGTCTTATCTTTACTGGCAGAATGTCAGAAGGGGACAGTGCTGGGGAGTCAGTCCATGGCAAACCATCAGTAGTTGCTGCCTTTTTCACAGGGATTGGACAGGTAATGTGCCATATGTGGATCATACACATGTTATTTATATAATTTGGGATTAAAATAAATTTCTTAATGTCACATAGTTTTTACCCCCCAGGAATAATAGCGACATAAAATAAACACAAATTGAAAGTGAAACAGACTCAGTGTGTTCTAGAATCTGCAGTGTTTCCTCTACTGTTGTGTCTTACTTGTTCGTCAGTGTTATTACAGTTATCGTTCCTTTATGTGGTTTTTTTTTTGTAACAGGTCTATCAGTCATGGCTAGACAAGTCAACACCGTTCTATGCAGTGCGATGGGCAGCCACTCTACTACTTACTGCTGTCTACATGATCAGAGTGTACATACTACAGGTAACTGTTTTTTGTTGTTTTTTTTTTCACAGATTTATTATAAGATTTGCTCAGGGATGTCGGTAAAGCAAGTAATACTGCTATGAAATAATTCACTTGTACTGTAATAAATACTGCTTTTGTGAAATTTTAAATGCCTACTTTTTTTAAAAACAGACGATTGATTAGTAGTTTGCGCTGTTGTACTAGATTGTGTTGTTATGGATCAATGTTTATGCTGATTTTTATCCAAGGTGAACGAATGCCTTGGGGGACACTCCAAGACGACAGTGACTGTACATCTTTGTTTTTGTTGTTGTTGTTTTGTTTTGAAAGGGGTGATGCTCCTTGCTTGGGGTGGTCAGATAACTTGGTTCATATGTGACTCATCTGTCATTCGTGTCATATGTGTTTTCAACTTTGTCTAATCACCTGGTCTGATTCTATAAACATGTTTTTGCTCATTGGCGTATGTACTTTTTACTAACAACAGCACTGTCATGTTAATTCGCTGTCCAGAAACCCTTATAATGTGGGGATTTTTCTTTGCTGCTTTTCAGGGTTGGTATATAGTAACATATGCTTTGGGAATCTACCATCTCAACCTGTTCATTGCTTTTCTATCGCCAAAAGTGGATCCTTCACTGCTTGATGAAGGCAAGTTGACTGAATTACATGAAAGTGTTTTTTTTTTTTTGTAATGTGGCCATGTTGTGTTCTTGGCAGTAGGTTACCTGCTGGGGTGTTTCCTGCCTGTTTATTTAGGCGTTTGAGTAGTTGCAGTCATGCTCAAGATCAGTTCCTTCAAAGGTAAAAGTAAAAACAGATGTTACTAAAAGTGCTCTCTCGTATAAAACACAGGTAGATATCAAGGTATTTTTTCTAAAAGCTTACAGAGTATAGCGATTCATCAAACTATAAAACACTGTTATACATTTATTTTACTCTTGTACAGTATATTTGAGGACAGAGTTGAAATTCTAGTGTTTGGTTTAAATTGTGTAACTTAACATTCACACAAATGCATTCAGACAGTCATAGAATAAAGCACTACATCAAACAGAAACATCTGAGAAAGTTAAATGTTACGGTGTCCAAATTGAACTCTGTTGGTTAGAGGTCAGTTCCACTGCAGTGTCTGATTGTTCCAAAACTTTTTGTAATGTGGTTCCTCATCCACGTGATGCAAATAAGCCTTTGCTTTACATACAAGTTGTTACACAATGTGAAAGCCATTACATCACCCTGCAACCTCTCTGTCCTGCAGATGAGGGCCCATCCCTTCCAACCAAGCAGAACGAGGAGTTCCGCCCTTTCATCAGGAGGCTGCCTGAATTCAAATTCTGGTGAGAGTCCAGCTCATGGTCCTGCCATCTGTCACTGTCATTCAAAGATAGATTGCAAATTTTGTTCTTTGGAATTACCTGTGTGGCTAAATTAAGTCATGCAGAGCTCATTTGGAAAAGGAAGTAGCATTTCAGCATAAACCAAAGATAATGGGTTCAATTAATCTTGTGACACTCATGTAATATTATATCAGTGTCTCAGCTTTATCGTTACGCAATCACTGTCATCCATAGGCCATGACATACATTAAATACAAAAATTTTTGATGACACTTTTGTGAGTAGGGGTGGACAGAGTTTCACAGCAACAGTCAAGTATCTTTAAGCAGTTAAGTGCAGTCATATTAAGGAACATGCTCGTAATTCATCATCAAGGCTACAGTTCTCTTTCTTTTATTGTTTCTTAAGTTTATATTAGACCTCGCCTGTCATATATTTATGGACATTTTTCGTCCTCTTGTGTACTGAAACAGGAAGAGGAAAGTGTTTTTTGACTAGTCATATGGCTGCCTGATGTGTGAAAAGATAGTCTTTGGTTCCTCATTCCACGTGGTTCATCTGTACGATATCAAAGCCTTTTAGTATTTTTATAGCTTGAAAATGTAAATCACCAAGTTGTTCTTAAAATCGTCCGGAGATCAGAAATTACTATTCGGACCAGCCCTAAACTGCATCAATACTCTCAGGTACACTTGCAAACAGATGATCAAGATACATGGCAGGTAGTTCCTTAAGTATTCCACCTGCATTAGATCCTTTATTGAGAAAGATCAGTGTGCTTCCTCACTGTTCTCACAAGTTCTGAACAAATTACTGATAAACCTTTAGACTTACACTGAATGACGTTGTGCAATTACCAAACTGACTCATCAAGATTTGCAGTATCTGCAGTAATTTGAACTTTGACTAGTCCTTTAGCAACATCTACAAAAACATTATGGACATCTTAAGAAGAGTTTTGTCAATAAAAATCTTACATTGTAGATATTTTCAGTTGTATATCTTACTGGATGGAATGTATTTATAGGAACTCACACCATAGACATTGTTGCTTAAAGATTGTTCTTTCTGACTGACTCTAACTCTAAGTTTGAGATTGTCGTCCTGCTGTTGATCTGCACAGTATTGCATATGATGCAGCCAGTAAATGTTCAAGTTGATGCTGGTTCACTGTCACACTGTTTTAACTGAGGTTATGTTTCTTTTCTCTCCAGGCACTCAGCGACAAAAGGCATCGTCATCGCCATGATTTGCACATTTTTTGAAGCCTTCAATGTGCCAGTGTTTTGGCCCATACTTGTAATGTACTTCATCATGCTCTTTTGCATCACCATGAAGCGGCAGATTAAGGTAAACATACATATTCATACAGTCATTTGCACAGACTGTGTATGTTGGCACTGCAGCACTGTACTATTGTAAGCAGTAGTAGTGTAATGCAAACACTGTAGTCCATCTAAAAAGTGTGTTTTAGGTTACAAAGAAAGTTTGTGTTCAATGTAAAGAAACACATCTGCTCATTATGCATGTGAGTTGTATAAAATATCAGGAAAAACAGACAATGCAGTACAAAAATTCAAGCAGAGATGACTCGCTGAGCCTCAGACAAAGCTAAACACTCACACATCTGTGCTGTTCACACATTGAATATCTGAATACTCTGTGAACTGGATAAAACCAGCAACCACTCAGTCATAAGGGTGTTAAGTTGTTCCAAGTGTTTGAACAAATACCTTTTACTAATTCTCCTCTTTTTTTTTCCCTTCCCCACCTTCTCCAGCATATGGTCAAGTACAGATACCTACCCTTCACACACGGGAAGAGGACATACAAAGGCAAGGAAGACACAGGGAAAACTTTTGCTAGTTAAAAACTCCCACTTACCCTTCCTACCTTTCTCATTTAAGATTTATTGGTCACAGCTAGTGGGGGAGTGACGAGGGGTTAGAGATTTATTTTCTTTTTTGTAAGCTGGACAGTCACATGGAAACATAACGTGAAAAAACAAAAACAAAAACAAAAAAAAAAGAGTTTTGATCCAGGGTTCACAGTGTTGGATGAGGATACAAGTAGCACGGATCAAATTAGGCTGGGGATATTGCCTTTGTCTATTAAGGATTATTTTTGGGTTTTTTTTGATGATTGGTTCTGCAATTATTCAGTAGTAGGTGAGACTAAGTGCTGCCTTTTGCCTTTTTAACCTGATTGGGTAAGTATAAAGCCACCAAGAAAGAACCTCACTCAAACAAATTTGCAGTAAAATGTGTGATTTTTTTGTTTTTTTAATTTAATTTTTTTTGTTCAATGATGGTGATATCATACATCTCTCTCTCCCACGTCTGCCAACTTTTGATTATTATATTGTTCCTACTTATTTGTAACAAGTTATATATTGAAAGTAAAGTTAGTAGCAAAAGAACGTGACTAGATGTAAGGTGAAATCTGACGACAATGCAACTGATTTCAAGTTGAATCATTTCACTCTTGTAGTAAAAATGTGCTGCTGCTCTGACTTAGTGTCTCAGTCCTCTGTACTAGACGAAGGCACTTAGGAGAAGTTGGTTACATTTCACTTGAATATGCATTCATAGCAAGCCGAGAAACAACCATCGGAATTTAATCTCTAATGATCGACACGAATAATTTTTGATTGTTTGCCTTCAATTGGCTACTCATGTAATCCTGATTCTCACTTGCACCTGATTGTCTTTCATTTGAATCTTCACCAACCCACAACATAATTGAATGCATAAGTCAAGGAGGGTGTCACTAATCCCAGCTAATTTAGTCTCCCGTAGCCTGTAGTCTGCGGCTTAATTCAAATCAGTTCTTTCCACGTTTGCGCCTTTGTAGAATTTAACGAATACACGGGATACTGTGATGATGAGCACCTCCGTAAACCAAATTTTTAACATCATTTTCAGAGGGGCATCATTTAGCTTGAAATGTTTAATGAAGTTGCTTTAGCTCAGATTTGTTTGATGCCATTTTGTTGAAATTATTCAAAACATGCTGTGTCTTTAAAGAGCACAGCCAGTATTCAAGTCCACTTCATAACATGGCAAATTTGGGATAACCATCGAGCAGAGTTTACTCCAATGACCTTTTTTTCTTTGACCTTCAAAGACGGAGGTCTATTTGGTTTGTGTAGACTAGCTGTTGTAGTCCTTTATAATCTGTGTTTACTTTAAAAGAAAATAAAGAAAAGTCATGGTAAATAGTCATTCCAAGCAAACTGTTGTTCTCTTTCTTTTGCAGAGGAAACATAAGAAAACAGAGATTGAGAGCTTTTATTAAAACAAATGGATGAAGTGGGTGGCGATCACACATTCTTTTCTATGAATCTGTTTATTTTGTTTTCTATCAGAATGCTGAGAATCTGTCATTACTAAACTTTGATCAGCACTGTAGTAAGGGATCAAAAGATTTTCCTGTAAAGTTTGTGTTTCAAAGGGTTGTCTGGATTTGTGTGTGTATATATATATTTTAAAATATAAATTTTTTTTTTTTTTNCCTTTCAAGCAGAACAAGGACTCAAACTCAAACTTTGGTGAGACTCCAGCTCATGGTCTGGCCATCTATCACTGTCATGCACAGAGATTGCAAATGATCTTCTGTCAAATGACCTCAGTGTGGCCAAAGGTTAGATCATGCAGAACTCATTTGTAAGAGGATGCTGCATTTTAGCATAAACCAAAGACACCGGGTTGAATAATTTATTAATTTGTCTGTATTTGCTTGTGGCCGCATGCGATCCTACACCCTCATCTTGACTTCAGTGCTGTCATTGATAGCTCATCCCTACAGCAAAGCTTGGATTCAGAATAAAAAAAAGTTTCATTACACTATCAAAACTTTCACTTTGAAAACTATTCATTTTACAAATATGAACAATGCATATATGAGGGGAAAATATTTCACAATTAACATCAAGGTCACATGTCCTTGTGTCAGATATTGACAGTTCCAGTTAAATCTTGTCTACCTTTCACACCTAGATGCATAGTTTGTGTACCAAAGCAAGAAGAGCGCAAATTGGTTTTGCATTGGTTAACATAGAGCTGCCACAGGCCTACGAAAAGATCATCTTTGGTTGCTCTTTCCAGGTGTTGTTTCTGTGCACTTGGATACGTACTCACATACATTTTAATTATTTAAACTTCAATATATACGGTGCCTATAAAAAATGTTCACTCCCCCTTTGGAAGCTTTACCCTTTAATCGCTTTCAACATCGGTTCATGGTCCATTTAATTAAATAATAAGAATTTAGAAAAACAGACCTTTTTGTGTCCATGTGAAAACAGATTCAAAAAACTGGTTCATCTAATTTAACACAGGTACAGCCAAGTGGTGCTAGAAGTCAATTAGTAAAATAGAGAACATCTGAATAGAGTGAATGTGTCTCAGGTGGTTGTAATGTAAAGACACCTGTATCTGAAAGGTCCAGTTACTAGTGAATTAGTACTCCGGGCTATAACTGCACCATGTCAAGGTTTTATGGGCAAGTGACAAAGAGAAAAGCACTGTGAATAAAAACTCATTAAAACTCGGTTAGAGCTCATTAGAAGGAATGTGAGAGACTCTGAAGTCAAATGGAAAAATGTCCTTTGATCTGATGAGATCCATGCTAAAAATGTTGGTTCCCATCTGACCCAAACAGATTGATTTTGGCTTCATTTGACCAAACAATGTTCAGAAAGGTCTTTTAGTTTTCTATCAATACAGTGATGGTTTTCTTTTTGAACAGACTTTGTACTTTGGGGACCATACATTCAATGTAGTCTATCTCTGCTGTTTGTTTAGAATTATGTATATGATCAAATATCTAGCTGTTCAAATTAAAAATAAGAACATCAGGATTCATTCAGGGTTGAGGCGTTCCACTTGTTGTACTCATCAGAGGGAGTCTTGTACATCTTCATAGGTCTTGCATACTGATTTGTAAATTGTCTTTTGACCATTTCAAATATGTATTCATAACAACTGAAGTCATGCAACCCCAAGAACAGTGAAATGAACACTGGGAGCTTGACATTACAGGCATTGTACAGCTATTTAAAAGCAGAGGCTCATCTTCAAGAGCCCACATCAGATGGGTAAACGCCAACTACAACAATGAAGCATTTTCTAGCTCCACTGTGTCTGCTGGGATCTCTTATATNCCCTTTGCTTTATTTTCTCCTATATGGGAAAAGATCTGCCGAAAAACTACAACGAGGCCAAAGCCATAACCTTCTGCCTCCTGCTGCTGATCCTCACATGGATCATCTTTGCCACCGTGTACATTCTTTATCGTGGCAAGTACATCCAAATACTGAACGCCCTGGCTGTACTCTCCAGTCTCTACTCCTTTCTGTTGTGGTACTTTTTCCCCAAATGCTACATCATTATTTTTCAACCCCACAAAAACACGCCTCAGTTCTTCCAAGGTCTCATTCAGAATTACACCAAAACTATTAGTCAGTAGCTGCAGTCACTAAATGTGAGCTTTTCTTTGTTAGAACAGATCATTAAATTGTGAAACTTTTCATTTTGTTTAGTTGTAACTAATTTGTGTGAGATGGTTTTCACTGGTTAGTGGTTTATTTTACTGAGGAGTGCATTCTAAGCAAGTACTCTTTAAACTTTACTTTCATATACATCTCATGTATCTCATATAAACAATGCAATATTTTTAAATCAAGCAATTAAAAACATATAATCGACCAATAGTAATAGTGGAAATGTGGTTTTATATGTATTGTTTTGTAAAATAAGTTCATATCCCGTTTCAGTCTCTCTTACAACACAAGCCTAATTCCATTGAGAACATATTTGGAGTATTGTGCAATAAATCTGGAAAGATGTTTATGGAAAAGTTCATTCTGGTAAAACAGTACAGATACAGGCCAAAGGCTAATATTCATTTTAGGGGTACTGTATAACTTAAACTTCTTCAGTGGTTATACAGAAGGACGAGTGAAGAACTAGTTGTGATAAGTTATAGTTTTGCTCTGAAATAAGTAAAGAGAACCAAAGAGAATGTTGCTGACTGATTCAAACTTATCTGCTGTTGAATTCAATGTCCAATATGCTTAAAGCACAAACTCTTTAGCCCTGAATCAACTGTGGTATATATTTGCATGGAGAGCAGCTTGTGTGTTATAAATGTAATCCAATAAAATCACAAAATGATTGTGTGTGTGTGTGTTTTATTTTCAGATATTTGAAGTGGTTGCTATAACACAAATCTGACCACATTAAGGCTATGCTTCACTGTGAAGTCTGACCAATATGTCATTTGGCTATTTTTTGGAGCCAGCATTGACTTATCACAGGTACAGCTGACACCAGAAGTGTACATACACTGTATAAAGACACATAACCTTTTCTTTTCTCACTGCCTGACATTAAATCAGACTAAACTTTTTCTGCTTTAGGTCTGTTAGGATTACTAACATTAGTTCTATTTGCTAAATAACAGAATAATAAGAGAGAGATTTTTTA